AAGCCATAAGGAAAGAGAAGTCAATCCCGCTTTCCAACGGCAATAGGATCCCCTGATTTGCCTCTGCGCTTGATACAGCTAGCACCCCTCTATAAGGCTGTTCTTGTTAGGCACAGGTTTGTCCAATACCAAGGGAGCGGTGTCCACCAGTGGAGTAGAAGGCCACCCATGGAAAGCCTTATAGCAAGGGTGCATTGTCTCTATCTTATTTTAAGTAGACCCCTATGATCAATCTGTTTCAGGAGGACGAAGCCGGAGAAGGCCGGTTCAACTTCTCTGCCTATGGGATGGGCCCTGCCTGCCTACAAGCCAAGGACGGCCTCTCGGTCAAAGGAGCCAACAACAACAACACGGCCAACCCGGTGCCGGTCCAGTGCAGGTCTCCCGATGAGATGCGCAAGCTCTTCATCCAGCGTGCCAAGAAGATCGACAAGATCTCCCATATCTGCTTCCCCATGGCTTTCCTCATCTTCAACATTTTCTACTGGATTATCTACAAGATTGTCCGCAGGGAAGACGTGCACAATAAGTGAGCGGGGCTGTGCGGCGAGGAAAGCCACACGGGAGGAGAGGGGAGAAAGCGATCCTCGATACACATGTGCAATAGCAATGCAGCGATGCATGAATTTAAGAATGTGGCAATATCTACTTTAAAATAAACAGGGGGCGGGGGAGGGACTTTTAAATATACAAACTGAGGATTACCGGGGCGGGGGAAGGAAGTTTTCCAAAACTTGAATTGGGGGATTGCAGGGAGCTCGGTGTTTTACAGCATAGGAAGGGGCGGATTGCTACTGCAGCAGTCCAAGCAGTGTAATATATTAAATATATATTCATGCTTAATTATAATGCAAAAAAAAAAAACAACAACTTTTTTTAGCCTATTAACAGCTTAAATTCTAAAGGCACTGGAATGATTCGTGATTCCATGTGCAGAAGAGATTGCAATTATGCTTAAATCTGACTTTTGCTATAAAAAAGGCCATACCAGTTTCCAGCCAAGCAAGCAAAAAAAAATCCCCCCCCCCCCCCCCCATACATACAAAAGTTATTCATGCTTCTCTAGGTTTGGTCCCTGTGTATTCAAGTCAGGGTGGATTGCGGCCACTTTAAGAGGTTGTGGGTCATCCTATTGGCCAAGGATTTGAAACGCAAATATGTTGTGTCTCTTCGTTCAAGCCAACGGAGTTCCCATCCCTTTCCGAGGCTGGCCAATGAGAAATCTGAAAACATGAGGCGTGTGTAAACACTGCCCTTTTAGGCAAACTAAAAGGACCCATCTCAAGAGGCAAGATATGGCCCATGGCACTAGGAATGCAGCACTTGTGTTTCAACTCTTTTGTGCCCTATTTGTTTGGAACGGGAGTGGGGGGATATCGGGAAACACGAAGAGCAATTGTGTCTCGGTCGAGCTTTACAAGAGCAGCAATGCACTCTCATGCTGCACACCTGGCAGGGAGGAAGAAAATAGAGAAATAAGTGCAATCGACGTATATCGGTAAGGCTGGGGTGGGGGGTGGGAGTAATGTGGTCGCTGTACAGAGAGTATGGTCGTTATTTTCTGGCATTGCATAGCGGTGATACTATTGAAGCCGGGGTGATGGCCCCGCTCTATTTTTGTAACTTTTTTTTAGTGCTGCATTTCGCTTTGGCGGTTCGCCTTCTTTTCCCTCTCTCGTTTGGCAGCTGGTGGGAGGAGCCAGTCCCTGCCCCGAGGAAGCCAAACAGACGAGGAGAAGGGCACATTAACGTTTACATGAGGAGGGGAGGGCACTTGTGGGAGGCGGGGAAGGGCAGAGGGGTGACCCTTCAGGCATCAGGTCAGGCATCTTATACCGCTCCGTTGCTGGCATCTCAAAGACAGGGTTCTACGAGGTGCTGTCTTCCCCGCTTCTTCAGGGCTTTCTTTGATCTAGGAGCCAGGCCACCGATTGGCCATGGCTGGATTTTGTGGTGGTAATTTTTTGCGCACTTTAGTGAGACGGGGCCGAGAGACGCAGTAAAGGAAGCGACAATCGGTCGGCACGGAAGCACACGGCCTGGTTCTGCCTCGCGTCATGCAGACCGGGACGCTGCCCGAAGGGAGCCCCAGCCAAGGCACCTCGGGAAGCGTCCGACGCGCACGCTCAGGATTTGCCTTTCAGCCGCTGGGCACAACTGAACTGGGGCAGGACGGAGCCGCCTCGATGCACGACGGAGGCAGGCATTGGCTCTCAGGGCTCGTGTCTCCTCCATGCGGTACAAGGCCCCTCCGAGCAAAACGCCCACTCCTCTCATTCAGGTCTGTTAGACGGGGGCTGGAATAGAGAGCCTGTCTCCTCGGACGCCAGCTCCGCTCGGACCCAGGTCAGTCGCAGCCGGCCATCTGAGGGCAGAGAGGTGAAAGGGAAGGGTGGCCTCTGTTCACCCCGTCACGGCTGCCAGCTTTAGAGCAGAGAGTCAACGACAGAAACGCCTCACTGGCCATAGGCCAGGCGCTCGTTGGCAGGGGGAAGAGAGGGACGACAGTGGGGAAAAGCTGCCCCAGGCTGCCTGTTCTGTGGACAGACACCTGTCCGCAGGGCCGCCAGGCCGGCCCCTTTCACCAGCACTAAATGCACTTTATTGAAAAGCAGGAGAAGGCCGAAAAGGGAGCCTCCGTTGCACAGACCCGGACCAAAGGCAGTACTTTCTAACTTCACTTCAGGACCGCGGTGTCACTTCTGGGGCGGGCGGGGGGAGCGACAGATCCACAGCGCAGCCCCTTCCAGTCTCCTCCCTTGTCCGGGGAGGATTTCGTTCTTCTGTTGCCGGGTAACGGAGCGTTCCCAGGAAGGGAGACGCCACTGAATTACAAAGCCGTCGGGCAGAGCCGATGGTTGACGCGGAAGATGACTCTGAGTCTTGGCTGGGGATCCAGCCTGCTGTTTGTGCGCTTGTGGAATGACTGACCCCGCTGCGAGGCCAATAGTCTGTGTGGGGGAATCGCTCTCCACAGCTTGTCAGGAGCGGACCTGAAGCGAAGGAGCCGATTGAGGGAATTTCCTACCTGTCTGACACCAGGGCAGGCTCTGGAGCTCACTCCTGCCCTGTCTCCACTTCCTCCCTTCGAGGGACTTGGGGGAAACGGATCCTGGCCATGAAATAATGATTTATACCTGCCCCTTCCAAATTCCAGTCACATCCCTCGTCTGGGCTAGGTAGCTGCAACTCTCTACTGGTTTCAAGGGAACTACAGCAGCGGGGATGTATTAGCCTCCCACAGGCAGATTTCTTTCTCCTGACCCGTTGGGACAGCTGAGCTGTTATGAGTAGTGGCCAAGATGATTAACCAACACTAAGGAATCCTGAGCCTACTTTGCTACACCTTTCGTTACATCCCACTTTGCTTTTTTTCACTTCATCCCCTGCACAGGGCATGATTGGGGTTGGGGGAGAGGAGGCACCCAGGTCTGACAAGAGTCAGGCAAACAGATTTCTGAACAATTGCATCTTGATCCAGCTTTGAGAGGGGCCCTGAGCTCAAACAAGCCTGAAACTTTTGGGAAGTTCTGATCCAGAGCTGAACCCCCCGTGGCCAAATAGGTGCCATCTCCAGTCTGGTCTAGTTGGGGATGTAGCAAGAGAATAGGAGACGTGTGTCCCGATCCCGAAACATCCTGCAGGCAGGCAGATGGCCGCACCTGCATGGAGCCTCACCAACTGCAACAGGTCTCCATGTCAATGTTCCCACTGATTGTTTCCATCTATGTGCGGAATACATTTTGTTACACGCACCAAGGCCAGTGCAGGTGTGCACCACCAGTAGAAACACATGCTACCAGCTGCAGGCAGTTGAGGGTGCTCTACTAATTATCAAGGTGACACCTGAAGCTCCCCTGAGTGGCCACCCAAGTGGTCAGTTTACAGGCAATACTGATCCATATAGATCCGCTCGCATGGAGCACCTTGTAGGGCCAGAGCCAAAGTGGGGGAATTTGGCAACCCAATGCTGTAGCACTACAGTCAAATAGCCAGTTAATATTTAGGTGATATCTTAGTCTAAGGGCATGTTTATCTACACGAGAAACGGACCAGCAGAAATACAGCAATATAATCATACCACTGAATATATTTCTGCAAGAGAAAACCCCTTAGTTTCTTTTCTACAGTACTCATCTTTGTAGCATCTAAACACTGGCAACCACGGAAGGTTTCACAGGACGTTTCTCCTTATTATCCCATATAAACTAAAAGAAAACTACATTTACAATCTGTGTGCTCTCCAAAGCATACAGCTTTATTATTGCCAGCAATAAATATTTATTAGCAACAACCTACCGGTTTTTCGATCCGCACTGTTGGCTCCTGCCATAACTTAATTATATCATCTCTGTAGCAGTTAGCCCTTTATGGAAAATAGGCACAGAAGGTGTTTTTAAGGGCAAATCACAACATTTAATGGCAAGGAAAACAAATAGCGAATGGGGGTAAAATTCCCAGATAAGACTTAGGCACCTGAATCCCTTTTGAAAATGGAACTTAAACCACTAAATCACTAAAGCGCACCTGAAATTTTTTACTCCTTCTTGTTACCCATTGATGCTTTCCAACATGTGGCCAAAACAGTATAATCATATGATCAGGAATGTCTCACGTGTAAATATGACCATGGAAGGGCAAAAATACTAGTAATACAAGATAGTGGTGGTAATACAGACTTCCATTTGACCTTACTAGTTTTTTTTTAAGTGGTCATTCACAATCAAAGTCAGTTTCGGGGCTTGACCCCACAGCCCTGGGGGTTGCTGCTGTAAGATGCTGAGTGATTCAGTCAAAGCGCTTAATCCTGCCAGATGCAGATCCATTGAGCTCAATGGCAGGATTCCTATGCTTTAAGTGTTCGAATGCTTTGCTGAATCGGGGCCAGCATGTCCAGCTCCCGGCAGGATTGAAGCCTGAATCCACGGAGAACTTTAAAAGTTCTTCTGCCAGCAGAAAGAAAGTAATTTACCTTTCAAACGCCCCTTCCCCTCCACACAGAGCAAGGCTGCGGCCGGTGCTGCGTAAGCGTTGTCAATTTCAAAGTAAAACCAGGGTGATTCAAATCCGAATGATCATTGTGCTGTGTCTTGTTTAGAGCCCCCAGGAGCCTGCACAGTCTTAAAATTGGTGGCAAAAATGTCAAGTGCTTCAACATTAAGTTTTTTAAAAAGAACGGTTAGGAGAAAAGGATTCACCAGATTAAAAACCTGACTAGTTTTTTAAAAAGAACGGTTAGGAGAAAAGAATTCATCAGGTTAAAAACCTGACTTTTTCCTCATTTTATAAAATTGTATTTCTGCCATTCCGGAATAGGCTTGACTAAAAGGTCGGGATTGCCCCCACGAGGATCAGCCCAGTGGTCTATCGAGTGCCGTATGCTGAACCTGCCAGCAGCCAGGGCCAAAGGCTTCAGAGGAAAGTGCAAAAAACCCCCGCAGCAGGCAACGATGGGATACGATCTGTCCATCTGCAGAATAGCACCTATTCCCAGGAAACGCCGGTTAACGGCCACAGAGCCACTTCCGAAAGCACTCCTAGTTCGTTGGGAGTTTTGTGTTTCCACGGGGCCTTTAGGAAAGCAAGCCCTTTGGTTTTGAGGGCCCAGTCCTGCTCCCATTACAGCCCACTGCAGAACACCCACGCAGTTCACTAGGAGATGGATTCGACTCTTGTGCCCTACAGGGAGCATTAAACAGTCGCGGAGAGGAATCTTGTTGGCGGAAAGAAGCTCTAACGCTGCTCTTCTTTCTGAATAGATTTTTTTTTATAGAGCCACTTCATTAGCTAAAGAGATAATTAAGGTGCTTGATCATTCTTGAGGGCATTAAGATTAGCGCCAAAAAGGAAATTAGCATGCAATAATTTTAGAATCATTAAGGCTTCCCCTAATCCCAAGCAAGGCCATTACCTCTCTCTCTTTCCTCCCCTTTCACTAATGATCAGTATCACCTTCATTGCTCAGTTTTATGCATCTCATTTTCTCACACTCATCCATTCCAGGAGGCTGCAACTTATT